CTTAACAGCTCTCAAGAAAGAAGCAGAATGGGGAGTTAATTTAGAATTTCGAGTCTCTACCGATGGGTTATTTAGATTTCAGGATAGGATGTGTGTTCCAAGTGATAGTGAGCTGAAAAGAGACACCATGACAGAGATCCATAGCTCAAAGTTTGCCATGCATCCTGAAAGCACTAAGATGTATCAAAATATGTAACTCCGATTTTGGTAGAACAGGATGAAAAGAGATGTGGTCGACTTTGTTTCCAAGTGTTTGGTATATTAACAAGTCAAGACAGAGCATCAATTCCCAGGTAGGCTACTTCAGCCATTACCAATTCTGGAGTAAAAGTGGAAACATATCACAATAGATTTCGTGACAGGATTGCCTAGGGCACACTCAAAACATGATGTCATTTGGGTAATTGTTGACCGGCTCACTAAGTCTTCCCACTTCTTTGCGATCAAGACGACCGACCTCTTGGACAAGATACCAAGAATGTATATCCGGGAGATAGTCTGATTACATGGAGTACCAGTGACAGTGTCCGATAGGAACTCCCAGTTCACTTCTTGGTTATGGTCTAGTTTTCAGCAAATCATGAGAACGAAACTGTCCCTTAGTACTGTATTCTACCCTCATATCGATGGATAATCAGAAAAGACGATCCGCACATTAGAGGGTATGCTCCGAGCTTGTGTTCTTGATTTCGATGGTCATTGGGATAATCATTTACCCCTAATGGAGTTTGCCTACAATAACAGTTACCAAACAAGTATTGGCATGGCTCAGTACGAGGCACTATATGACCGTCCATGCAGATCACCGATCTGTTAGAAAGAAGTGGATGATAGAAAATTGTTTGGGCCAGATCTTGTAGAGGAGACTACAGCCAAAATAGTTAAGATCAAGAAGAATATTCGGATGACTCAGAGCAGGCAGAAGAGTTATGTAGATACCGGAAGGAATGATTTGGAATTTAAAAAAGGTGATCGGATGTTCCTTAAGGTCATTCCTTTCAAGAGAATCAGTAGGTTTGATAAGAGGTGGAAATTAAATCCTCAATTTATTGGGGCATTTGAAATCTTAAACAGAATTGGCACCACCACCTACTGGCTGACGCTACCTCCAGAACTATTTAGGATCCATAATGTGTTCCATACGTCCATGCTACGCAAAGTATAACTCGAACCTCTCTCACATCTTGGCCCACAAGCTTCTTTCACTCTAAGAGGATCTGTCCTACGAGGAGATACCGATTAGTATTGTGGACCGAAAGAGTAAAGTACTTCACAACCAGAAAATTTCATTCGTTAAGGTCTTATGACAGAATCACACACAAGGAGAGGCCACATGGGAGCTAGAATAAGATTTTAAGGCCCAGTAACTCCAACTGTTTGATTGCTGAGAGAGAGATAAATTTAAGGAACTAAATTTCTTTTAAGGATGGATAGTTGTAATACTCTTAATTAATTTTAAAAAAATTTAAAATTAATGTATAAAATTTTATTTTTTTTAATTTATGAATTTTTTCGATGTAAAAATTTGGAAAAAATAGCTGGATGATGAAATTAAAAACAATTTTGGAAAAAAATGAGTGAAAATTTGGGTTCTAGAGTATTTTTGAAAAAAAAAATAAAAAACTGGAGGTCAGACAGTAAATTAGAAAAGATGTGCCACGTAGAACCGCCTAGTTAGCAGTCCCGACGAACCGGAGCGCGCCCCGTGGCGAGGCGTGCTGATGCAGTGCCACGCAGGAGACCACACTGGCAATCCTCATGTCTGCAATCAGATGGTCCAGATTTGTTCTCGCACACGTGGACGATCTGGATCTGTTCCCTCATCAGGCACGATAGGACGGTCGCGATCAAACACGTATGAATGGTGTAGATTTATTTTTTTTAAACGCAATTGTAGAGTCCAGATCAAATCGCGATGAACGGTTTAGATTCACTTCATATTTGAACGCGATCAGACGGTCCAGATCAAATGCGATGAATGACACAAATTAAAAGAAAACATATATAAATATCTCATTTCATACCAAACCCTAACCTTACCCCCCCCCCCCCCCCCCGGGCGGAGAAGAAGAATCAGTCACTGGGAAGGGAGCTGACCACCGCGCCGGAGCCACATCTAACTGCCAAAAAAGATAAAAATTCTCTTAGTCACTTGGAATTTGATTTTGAACACATCAATGACTAAATTGGAGCCAAAGGATTGACAGATAGGCCGAAAACTACGGGTAAAGCCCGACGACGCTGCCGTGGAAAAAATAAAAAATGGCCTCTGACGAGGCCTTTCCCGATTCTCGTTTCGTACAATTTTTTTACCATTGTATTCACCATTTTGTTTTTCACAGGTTGACCGAAGAAAAACGTCCAACCGCGAAGCTAAGACGGTGGAGCTGCCGCACCAGAAATTCCACTACCGGTAAGCCTCTATTTTTCGATTTTTTTCGGCCAACTGATGCCCCTTAACCTATTTTCTCACAGGGATGAGTACAAAATTGGCCAAAAATAGCCAGTTTGAGGCAAACCATTACCGCAGATGGCGGTGCCATCACCGGATCACGGTGGCGCCGCTGTGCTGGAATCTCAAAATTGGCTGAAAAGGGTTTTTAACACCAATTTTGAGTTTTTTTTTTTGTATTTCTAGGTACTTGGAGCGTGTTTTAATCTCCGAAGAAAAATTCAGAGAATTCGGAGACTGCCAGTAAACGCAGCTAGCGTTTCGAATATTGATTCGAGTAAGAATCCCTCACATTATTTTCTATTATAGAATTGAAGTTTAATTATAAATAATATGATATTTTGCGTGATTTAGAGATATTGATAATTAAAGGTTACTAATGGAGCCTGAACCGGTTATTTATTACTATTTGTCATGTTTTAATTGATTGATTAATTTTACAGTTTCGAATACATGATAATATACTAAAATTGGTATGATGATTCGTTTGTGTCTCTTGATACATGTATTACTTGTTTTGTATGGTTCACAGTTAAATTAAAAAACTAAAAAATTAAATGTAAACGACAAATTACTTGATTAATTGAATGAATAAATAGTAACCTTATTGGATATTTTGGGAGATAGTTGATGGACCAGGTACATAGGGAACTCTACCGTGAATGTTACCTCATACCGGATGGGATATCGAGGATTAGTGTTTTGGCACTCATACAAGACGGAGTATGGGGACGATCCCTTTCACCCTCATGCCGGACGGAGTATTGAGGGATGATATTTTTGGTGCTCATACCGGATGTGGTATGGGGACGGCTGGTTAATTGAAAATATTGAATAAAAGTTCACGTGTAGTGGGGACATCCCTATGGATCCCCATAGATACTAGTAGACTGGTTAAAAGGAAAAATTGTTGTTTTGATTAATTGAATATGAGATTATGATATTGTTGTGTTATCGCCTCCATATATCAGTTTTGAAAATTTTACTACTGTAAGTATACAATAAATGATGTTATTTATAATAAATGAATTTATTTAAATTAAGAGCTCCATTTAGTTATTTTCATGATTTTTACTAATATTTATTTCTGTATCGGTGAATAGTAAGACATTCTTACTGGACTCATATAGCTTACTCTTTCATTAACTATTTCATATCAAAAGAACCAAGATCTAGATCCAGATTCACGAGAGGGTTGCGAATAGGATTTTTAATTGTTTATTTTTAAGTTATTTCTTTAATTTTTCGTTATTATTTTAGAAGGGTCATTCTTATAGTTTTATTGGGTATTCTGAATTATTGTGTAAGAAATGTAAACTCTAACACTATTATTTTGCTTCCACAATCGATTTCTAATTTATTTTCTTTTAAATTCTGGGCCGTTACAGAAGGTTGTTTTATAATACTTATTTATTCGTTTTTCTTTAATAACTGTTGTTTTTTAAAATATATATTCTTATATCTCTATTGAGCATTCTAAACTATTATGTAATTAATGTAAACTCTAACTCTATTATTTGCTTCCGCATTTAAATTATAAATTCATTTTTTTAAGGTTTTAGATCTTTACAAAATAAGTGATTATTGCATTAAGATATTTGGAAGTTAAATCTAATTCTTTTTTAACCTAGTTTTTAAAAGTTTAACAAGAGAAAACAATAATTATTTTTTAAAAATTAATCATATAAATATAAATTATAAGTAATTAAAAAATATATATTATTTTTATATTTGAAAATTTTAAATGAATAATTGTTATATATATTATTAAAAATATTTTTATATTTAAAATTTGACTGAATAATATTTAAAACTTTATCTCTATATATATGATTATAATTATTACTTTAATTTTGTTTTTATATTCTAAAAATTTGAGTGAGTAATATTTAAAATTTTATTTTTATATAACTATTAATTCGATATTACTTATATATATATTGATTTACTCAATTACTTCATTTGTGTCTATTTAAAATTAATAAATATAGTAATATAAATTGCAAAATATTAATAACAAATACACCTTTATTTACTTTTCATAATTATATTTTTTTCAAATAATTTTTATAATCAATACTTATTTAAACACATCTAATCTTAAAAAGCATAAACATTTATTAATCAATTATTTTACCTCTTTAAGCAAACAAACTCTTTGTTAGAAGAAAAAAAGAATTATTTAAAACTGAAAAAAAATTCTTTTTTTTAAATTTCAAAATGATATATATTAATTTTATATTAAATAAAATTTAAATCTTATATTATACAAAAATTAAAACTTGATCTTCTAATGATCAGAGCCAACGAGTTTGTGAACAGCGTTCGATTTTTGAATCTCCCGCGCCAGGAAGCCAACCGTATTCTGCTGCAACCGTCACAACCCCCGGCCCACAAAAGAAAAAACAAATCGACGGCAAAACTGAGTCCTAATTGACACGTGTCTCAATCGGGAGGCGTCTCCTTCAACTGCCCGTTAATCTACCCGTTCACTATTACAGTTTCCCCGCTCCCTTCTCCCACCCTAATGAAAATCCTCACTCACAGCCATCATCTTCTCTCAGATCATGGCAGAAACTCACTTTCCCTTGTATACGCTAATCGGACCCTTTGCTTTCATCTTCTTTGCCTCTTCTGTCGCTCAACTTACAGGTGCTCCTCTATATTTTATTTTTTCCAATTTAAATCGAGAAATACCAACATCGTAAATTTTCTGTTACAGATGACTTATCGACGCCCAAATTTGCTTTTAGTTGGTTGGATGATAAGAACGAGTTCCAAGCTGGTGATACTGCTACTGTAAAGATTAAAGTACTTGGAAACTTCAACAATGGAGGGAATGCCTCGCTTGACAAAAGTGCTTTCAAGCCTACGTTTACAGTTAAAGGAAAAATGGGGAACAGTTCTTATGTGTCTGGGGTTTTTCTGGATGTTAATGGGGACCCTAGTACTTGGAGGATTCTCTTCACTCCCATCCTTGTTGGGATCTTTAATGTGCTTATTAGTGATGAGAGGTTCAAAGTCCTGGATTCATCCCTCCATTTTGAAGTCGAAGCAGGTTGGTAATCCCTCTTCCTTTTTTTTTTGTTCAAATAAATCGAGTGGGTTTGGTAATTTAGCTCTTCTCTGCTTGATCCCAGACCTGTTTACTTTATGATACAAAGTTTTCCGAGTATTTGCTTCTTTGTCCAATTTCAACATCTAGGCATAGCTGGGTTCACACTATGAATGACAAGCTTTTGAATGATATTAGGATGAGAACATAAAAGAAAGAAACCTTAAGCTGCTGAAATTATTGCTGTTTGCTTTGAATAAAAGTGGTCTTAAGTGGGCAACATGGGGGTTCATTAAAAATAAAAAGAAAGTGGGTCAATAAGGATCCGATGGGGAATTTCAAATTATTCAGTTTCAGGTATTAGTTTGTACTAAATTTGTTTCCATTTTTCAATGATAAACCAGGCTTTTAGTTAGTATTACTATTAATTGAAGCTTAATAGATTTTCTCATAATTAATGTTTAGCATGAAAGGATTCCTATATTATTGGTGATGTTCAAAAATATATGCTAACCCCATAATTGCTTTTGTTTGGTTAAAGGGCAAATGTATCCATCTGTTTGCATTGCTTCTTGGATGGGTCTCCTTAATGAGTTTGAAGTGGGGAAAAATGCTACAGTTTTGATTCTTCCTAAGGATGCATTTGGAAATAACATTTCTTTGGCTGTAAAAGAGGCGAGTTCTTACAATTATTCAGTTTATGCATTGTATGAAAATGGATCAGTTGCAAGCACTCTGAACATTACCTACATGAGTTGGAATGATTTTGGATATATTGTTGTTAAGTTTATTATCTTGGAAGCTGGAAACTTTTTATTGCATGTGGAAGGGGACAACCAAGTCCTGAATGGTGCTCCACTGCCCTTCAAGGTGAATCCAGGTGATGTGCTGCAGCTTTTATAACCAGCTCAAACATGTTTTTACAGATATTAGATTCTTAAGATGGGCAAGTTTTTTGTCATTCTTGTATTAATACTAGTACATTAAGACGTCTCTTGCTATAATGTTTCTTCCTCCAGTCTCCAGTTCTATAATCTAGGTACATGGAGATATCCTACATTTATGTAACCTGAGAATAATGATTCAAGACTTATATTAAATGTTCTACTGGTCTTTTCCAGGACCTTTGGATGTTTCCAATTGTGTGGCTAGATGGAATTTTGAGATGAATGAATGGCAGATATTTTCCAAGATGGAAGTATTTCTACACCAGCAAGATCAATATGGGAACCTCGTTCCAGGATTATATGAATTTGATGCTGATGTTATCGAGAAGGGGACAAACCTTTCAATACCTATAGCAGATTTGCAATTTGAAGAGGTAAAGCCAGGAATTCAGTTGTTTTCTTTCAGCTTGCTGGAGCCGGGGAGCTTCTTGCTCACAGTTTCTGATGCGAAGCATAACAAGAGCATCTCCAATATGCCATTTGCTTATACTGTTTATGTAGGTGCGCGTTTGTTAAAGTTCTTTATGTTGTCATTATCTTCCATGCTTCTGGGCTTTTATTTATCCTAACTCCTTTAGCCACTGAAATAGTTTCTTCTGATGTTTTGGTTTAAGTAGGTTACTGCAATGGGTCTACCAGTGTTGTCAATGGTTCAGGTCTAAATGGTTCTATTTCTGGGCAAACTTCAGCATTCTCAGTTTACCTGAATGATGCTTTTCTCTATCCTTGTCCAATTGAACTAAAAAAACTTCAAGTCCAAATTATGAGAGAAAATGATTCATATTTTTTACAGCCAAGCATACATCCACGAGACATTGGCAACGGTATGTACAAATTAGCTTCTTCTTGTTTCCTTTAGGTGACTGCATTTGATCACAATCTGTACAGATTATTACAAAATACTGTGTCATTAGGAAGTGGATCAACTGGAGAATTACATGCTAGCACTATCAGCCAGATTGAACCTGCACCTTTGCCATCTGTTGGACTGAGAAACACGACGGTAAGTGCATCTTTAATTTCCTTCAAGTATTTGCACCATGCAAGTTCTGATATGAACAATAGTTGACAGTCTTCAGGTAGAGAGAAGTTTCAATCCAGTGCTTTTAACGTCATATATACTCCAGAGAAGAGTGGAATTTATAAAATTCATGTATTTTGTGGAAATATACTTCTTAATGGTGGTCTTCCTTTCACCTGGAGGTAAAAGCAGGTATTCTTTTGCAGTTATTGTAATATGTTTCCAAGTCACATAATTGTAATTTTCAGCTCTGAAAGTAAATGAAAATATTTTAATTAAAATGACTTGCAGGTTCTGTCAGAAGCAACTACTTTCTCTTATTTCTTTTGTTGGGGGGAGGGGGGGGGGGGGGTGTTGTTATGGCCAGGGCAATTAAGATATTAAAACTCTGGGGAAATTAGTTTGCTAGATAAGGGTGTAAATTGATGTATTTAAACTATTCATAATTCTTTTTCTTTTTCAGTCTGGCTAATACTTGAATTCTTAAGAGTAAAATATAATAAAGATCAAAATGAGTATTATTGAAGCTTTTAAGCTTGGATGTAAAAGCAAGAAGGCAGGTTTTTGAACTGTAATTTTCAGCTTTACTGATAAGTATAAAATATACAATTTAGCTTCCCCTTATTTTTGTATGGCGGATCAGTTGGGTTATATTAGTTGTTCTTGTCTATACTTGAGCACTCTTTATGTTTTCCTGCTTTGAGTTTGAATAATTCAAACTTTGAGGAAACTAGTTTTAATTTGCTAGTTTTAATTCAATCCATTTAGCACTTAAATTCTTAAGAGTAGAAGATACTTAAGATCAAAATGTAGATTCTTGACGCTTTCAGATGGGATGTAAAAGCAAGATGGCAGTTTTTTGAACTGTAATCTTTAGTGATAAGTTCTAATTATACAACCTTCAATTATCAAACTTTTAATTTAGCATCCCCTTATTTTTTGTATTTTGAATTGGTTGAGTTATATCATTCATTCTTATCCATACTTAAGCATTCTTGTAGGTATGGTTAACATATCACTGTCAAGAGTTGTAAAATTTTCGGAGAAAGTGCCAAAGCTCATTAAGAACGAAATAGTGGTGCAGCTTGTTGACTCATTTTCTAATCCTATGCCTTTACAACAGTTGAGACTAAAGCTAGAGATTGCATCGGTAAACAGGTCTGGTTTTTCAAGTTGGATGTTTTTGGATAATGGAGATGGGATATACACTGGTAGCTACCTTGCCGAGGATGTAGGAACCTATGAGATGTGTGTTTCATTTGATGGCAAATATTTCTTACATTGCCCATTTGGAGTTAACGTGTATAGTAGTAAGTTGGGATGGTTCTCTTACTATTGTCTGCTTCTTTCAGTTTGTATACTTAAAAAATTGAAGGATCATACATCTGCATTTAATTGAATGAATATTTTGTGAATACTATATGCTGCCAAGAATTTGGAGAAGTTCAAAATGGAGATCCTATTGAATCTCTGCATAATGCTTTACAAGAAAGAGATATACATTTGAAGATAGCCGTGGATAGCAAATCAATTTTAGTTATTTTTGCCTATTGATGTGAAGCAGTTGGTTGTCATCATGTAGTTGATCTACCTTTCCAGCTATTTAATGATTTTTTTGGTTAAAATGAGTTCAATAGAATAATAATGAAAGAAGTGGGGGGGGCTCTATACTTGTCAAATAACGAGGGCAAAAGTTTGGAGATTCATAAAAGATCCGGCCTAGGATGACCTAGTCTACTTTATTTGAATTTTTGTTTAGCTAAGGAAAATGTATGAAACATAATAGTGGATTTACTTATGATACTGCAGGATTGTGTACAAGGGACATTAACTTTTTCTCCTTTTCAGAAACCTGATAAGGGACATAACTGGGATTTGATTGTGATAGCCTTTTTCAGCATTACTGACATTTTCAATTGTCTTCAGGTGAATATTTTCCAAAAGCTTATGATGATACGGTATCTGTTTGGGAGGATGAGTCAATTGCTTTTGATGCTCTAGCAAATGACTACTTTGCGGGTGACAATGCAAGTATTGTTGAATTCTCGAAAGTAAGATGGCAACTTGGAGCAATTTTTCCTATATTCTCTTGTTCCACTGTTTATGCTCCTCTCTGCTTCCCAGTTAAAAATTGATATTGATGTTTGCTACAGTGCGGGGATATAGCAATATGCCTTCCCTGCTTGTCAGAAGAATTGGTGGATATTCTTGGTCTGTTGAATACTTAAGCCCATTTACTTTTAAAAAACTGGTTTTGAGTTTTTATTTTTGAAGTCACATATATTTGATACATAAAAGAATACGTAGTTGGAGAAAATGAAAATAAGGTTCAAACATTTAATGGTGAAACTAGAGATAAGATGGAAATCATTTTTTATTTTTAGAACTTGTCACTTTTGGGGTGTTATTTTCTGAAAGCTCTTTCATTTTCAAAACCAAGATACTATTTTATATAAAAACATATCATGTAAACA